GATGCCGGGGCAAGCCCGAGGAATGTTAGCTTTCTTATTACACTTATGTTTATGATTATGTTATGCTCACGATATGTATACCGGACTTCGGTCTGATGCCGGGTGGGGCCCGATGTAGGGGCTTGGCCCATGTATGCCGAACCACGTCCGATGCCGTGCGGGGCCCGATGCAGTGGGCTAGGCCTAGTATGTGATTATATGTATAGTATGTGGTAGCTTGGGGAGACTCACTAATATTTGTGCTTACAGTTTTCAGTTTTGGTATCAGGTACTTCCACTAGCAAAGGGAAGGGCTCGGGATGATCGCATGACACACACCACAGTTTCAGCCTAGGATTGTTTTAGACTCTGATGATTACTTATATGATTTGATACAATATTTGATCACATGATGTTTTTGAGATACATGGTTCTTGTTTTATTATGATGATGGATGATTTATGGTTTAAATAATGCTTTTAAAACGAAATTTTTGGACCGTATTTTTGGGATGTTTCAACACTGGGTGTAAGTTTGAGTACATTGGGCGTACTTAGCAGCTTGACTTTTATTGACTTTTCCTATTTGGTCCGTATGTAAACTAGTAGGGTTTTGGGCTTTGTAATAGTCTTTTTGACTTGGGAGCATTATTTGGCTTTGGGCCTTCTTGGATTTAGGCCCATAGTGAGCTTTAGGCCTCATTTTGGAATTTGGGCCATATTGGGCTTCTAGAGCCATTGGGTTGGGCCTCAGTTATTGGGCTAAGTGAGGAAAATGTAAAATGGTCTTTTACCCTGGGAGTTGGACAAATGAATGAGATTCATAGTTATGGTTTATGGCCTAATTATTAATTGGGGTTTTGTTTGATCAATTAGCACAGGGATTTTTCTGGATCAGCAGTCCGAGCATTTATCTGATGTTCACCAGTTTGAGGTGAGTCTCCTTACAATGTTTAGCGGGTCGAAAGCACCAATGCCGACCCATGATTTATTATGATTAGGATGCTAGCTGTCCGTGTGACTCTTACATGTGTAGTATATGATATGTATATCAGGCAGGGTCCGATGCCAGTCGGGGCCTGATGAGGGTAGTGTATGCTATTTGTCTTAGTGATTCTTGCATATGTTTTATATGTCTGTATGAATGTCGAGCGGACTCGATGCTAGGCAGGGCTTGATGAATGTGACGAGGCAGGGCCCATCTCATGTTATTGATGGATTTGTTCCTAGCGGGGCTCGATGTCGGGCGGGTCCTGATGGTTTTTAGGCATGGTCCATTGTATGTTTGATATGTATGGTATGAGGAATTTTAGGGAACTCCCTAAGCTTCATGCTTATGATTTTCATTTTATGTTTCAGGTACTTCTGGATCGAAGGAGAAGGGATCAGGATGATCGCATCGCACACACCACGTTGTTCCGTATTTTGTTGATTTGATGTACTTGGATGATTATTGACATACTCTGATTTTCTTTTATGGTTTTATGAACACACTTTGGATGATGGTTTTATTTTTGACAGATCTGTTCCGAGCGGGGCTCGATGCTGGGCGGTGCCTGATGGTTGTTGGGCATGGTCCATTGTATGTTTGATATGTATGGTATTTGGTATTTTAGGGAACTCACTAAACTTCTTGCTTACGATTTTCAGTTTATGTTTTAGGTACTTCCAGATCGAAGGAGAAGGGCTCAGGATGATCGCATCGCACACACCATGTTGTTCCGTATTTTGTTTATTTGATGTACTTGGATGATTATGAACATACTCTGATACTCTTTTATGGTTTTATGATCACAATTTGGATGATGGTTTTATTTTTATTAAAATGAAATTTTGGTCTTAAATTTTGGGACGTTACAATGTGGTATCAAAGGAAACCCACGTAGGTTGGGTGTATGCTCGGCTGGGACAAAACCTAATTTTTAGGGTTTGTGCCCGATTTAAACACCTTAAGTTGCCTTAGGAGTTTCTTATGATCATCCCCCATCTCTCCAAACCCTAAGAACGGAACCCTAGCTTTCATTTGAGTGTTTGTGAGCCATTGTTGTGATCTTGTGGTGTTTTTGGATCTTTTGAAGGAGGTGAAGCTTGGTGGTGAAGCCTTGGTGGACTTGGAGATCCAAAATCTTCATCAACTTTTAAAGCTTTTTGAGGTATAATGCTCTTCACTTGATGGATCTTTTGGTTAGGTCTAGTTAGGGCTTTTTTTTTTTATTCTTTTTATGGTCCTTTAAGCTATACTTAAGAGTATGAGCTACTCCAGAAGCTAAGGATGGTAGATTTTCGTATTTTTGAGGTCCATTGTTCATAAAATGCAGTCTTGGTGAGTTATCTTGGACCATGCATGAGTTAGGCTTATTGTTATGGTTCATTTTGAGTTTTGGGTCCCATTAAGTCATGAAAGGGTGTAAAGTTGCCAACTTTACGTGTTAACACGTCATTTAGGATCAGATCTCAGAATTTGGCTTAGTGGCTTAACTAGTTACGCACTTAATGGAGAGTTGGGGAGACTACGGAGTACGTTGGGCACACCCAACTCATACGCTGCGTGTACCGGCCATGGAGGGAGTACTATGGGCCTAAGTTTGAGTACGCTGGGGGTACTCAGCAGCTTGCCTTTTTTAAAGTCAATCTAGATTTGCCATTGAATTAGACGGCTGATTTAAAGTCGATCTTAGCTTGAGGTTTTAATGAGTCAAATCTACAATATCTAAATCTAAAAATAAAATAAGCATTAAATCGTTATCAAATCTACATTATCTAAAAATTTAAAAAATATATAAAAATAAAATGAATAATCAATTTATGGACCTATGATATCTATTTTCGCCCATTAATAAATTTCTAAGTTCTAACAGAATTACCACTATAAAAATTTTCACAAACGCTGAGCAATCGTTGTTAACAGAATTACCACTATAAAAACTCTTCACAAACCCTGAGCAGTCGTTGTTAATAGTAGCCTGAAAACTTCATCGCCACTGAAGTACGTAACAGGTATTTTCTTTTATCTTCGATTTTATTCGTCTTTGTCAAATCCCAACTAGATTTTAGTTTACCAGCATGAGAGTTGTCGTTTGATCAACATGTTTGTATTTTGCATGCATAGAAGGGTATGATGAAATACGTAAATGAAGTATTAATTAATTAAATAAGTACGTCAGGGAAGATTTGACTAGATCTAAACATACGAATGGCATAAATAGTTAAACACGATGAAGTATTAACAAATTAAATGAGTGCAGGAAACAAATGGGTGTAGAGGAGTTGAATTGGTCCTAGTTGTTTTTTGACAAATAAGCATACATACAAAAACAGAATACACCATGTCTTTTATCATTGCAAATTTGCATATATACGTTCCTCTTTGCTTTTCGAATTATCTTCTCTATTTGCTCTTTCATCCTTTTTAATCTCTAATCTCCCATTCTTCGTAGTTATCTTAACTAAAACAGTAAAATCTTTAATTTTACCCTGATTTGCTTTCATGTACGTTTATGCTACAAAAAATTATTTAAGTTTTTATGGAAACCATTCGTTGTAAACTGATTTAATTAGTGCAGTGTGTTGCACTTCCCCCTTGTCAATCTAAACCCATGATTCGGACTATTCCAATCAGCTAGGTATCAGTTCTAATTACAAACAGAATTGTAGAAACTAATTAAGGAAACTAAATAAAATCATATCTTTACACATCCTCATCACTCCTTCTTCAAGGTGATTTGTAGATATCATCTTTTACCAGCTTCTTTATCAATTTATCAAAGTGCTTCTTTCGTTTTCCTTTAAGAATGATTGTCAACCACATGTCCACATCTCAGCTCTATCATCATCATTAATTGCACTTAATTGTCGGCACCCATTTACAACAACAAAAGTTTTTACCATGTGGGAGATCTTCATTATCCCAAGTATCATTTTGGTTAAGAGCATTCATCTCTTCAAGAACTGCTAATTCCCACACTCGGTCATCTAGGACTTTCTTAATCTTTCTAGGCACAATCAAATGTATCTCAAGATATAAAAAAAAAAAATAACAGGCGTACAATGGTTTCAACAAACACATGTTTGACTTTTATGTTTACTCTTTTTAGATAGAAAATAACAGACCATATGTATGCCTGTCGTTTTACCATGGTTTGACAGGTTAGACATATTATGTCATCCATCTAGCTGAAATTGGAACTGCTTTATTTGCTAATTTTGGTTTTATTATTTTAATCTTTTAATTTAATTGAGATGATGGTGTTTGTATGCTATGGTAAGGTAACCTTTTATGGGGTATTATAGTTGTTAGTTTTAGGCCAGTCATTAAACCTTTTTTTTTCATCGCATAAAACCATTGGCAGTTCATTCTCTGTTGTGTATTGTGTACTGCTTACAAAATATTCTTGGATTTTTTTGTTTTGCTGTCAATCTGTATCATGAATACACAGTATATTGGAATTTGATTTCTCTAAAAAACATTGAATTGGTTTAGTGATGTGAGAAGGGTAGCGCAGGTTGGTATGTGTATGTGTATTGTATGTTTCTCCTCTGTTTACAAATCTTGTATGTTATGTGGTATTTATCTTCCTTTTTCAAGTGTAGGAATGGCCAAGACAAGATGTGTGGCTAAAAAATGGATAAAAAAAAGTACTCACGAATCGGTTCATTCTTATGTATTACATTTCCCTTATTAATGTCTTGGAGGAAAAACGTTTCAGAGTAAATGTTTTATCCAATTTTCTAATAGTTATTGAAACATCAAGATCAAAAGTAACAGACGACCAATGGTTTGTTGGAGATAGAGTTGAAATGTGGTTATCTTGATTTTCCAAAATCTCTTTGCCAACAGTTTTTGGATGATTTTTAGACCATTTCCCAAATCAATGTAGCAACCAATTCCTAATGACAAACAAGAAACTAAATACCACCATACATGTACATTCTCAACAAACACAATTTTAACTTCTTTGTTTCTCCCTTGTTTACAACTCTTGTATCTTATGTGGTATTTGGTCTCCTTTTTCAAGTGTAGGAATGACCAAGTTAAGAAGTATGACTGGAAACCGGAATCATGATGACAATGATGCATCATCATCATCATCATCTAGCAGGAAGAGGTTCAAGAATTTTGACAACGATGGTGTGGCATCTTGGTCAGATCTAAACCATCATGTGCTTTTTGTAGTTATGATGCAATTGGGATTTATTGATTTTTTTGCATTCAGTGGAGTCTGCAAGTCATGGAGGTCATTCGCACTGAGAGGAATAGATACATGGCCTCCATACCTCCCATGTCGATATGGTCCAGTGCTGGTAATCAAGACTCGTATTGGTAGCTGAAGGACTATAAAGAAAAAAAAATCAAAACCATAATTCCCCATTCTGCTGGAAGGGTCTGTTTTGGATCAAGTTGTGGCTACGTGATCTTGTTCAGTAGGAAACCCGCGACTTCTTGCTTGTGAATCCTGTCACTCGGCTACGTGATCTTGTTCAGTAGGAAACCCCTTACATGTAGGTGCTTGTGAAAGAGTAAAGACTATCCTTGTGTTTTCACCTTCATTAATATCTGGGTGGGTGTTTCTTGTGTTACATAGAAAAATATGGTTTTCTATAGAAGGTAAACAAGGATGGAATCATGTCTCTACTCTCCCCATCTTTGATTTGCATGCTCTCAAGGGGAAGATATATATATATACTCTACGTAATGATCTCTCCGTACGTGAACTCAGACTTGATCTGAATCATAAGTGCAAATGGAAATTACTAGACACCAACAATTTTCCAAAGCCAGACTGGTTTTATCCGGAGTTTGTAAGTTCGGGTGAAAACCTTTATGTGATAAATCGGTATGCACCAAACATTATTCTGGAACTAGATATCGGTGAAATGAAATGGGTGTCAGCAGAAAAGACAATAGGAGAATATGCAATCTTCATTAGCGGGTGTGGGGTGAGGTCTTCTGCTGCTATTAAACCCGAGTCATGGGCTGGCCCTTGGACACAATACAAGAGCTATGATCGCTTTCTTGAGACTGATAAAATTCGACAACACATCGATAATTATAAATGGATGTGGTACGTACTTCCCCCATGAGTGTTCTAATGTTACTATCTTAGACGAGTGATGACTAGTTAGTACTGATATCTTTGTTTTGATTATGGACTATGGATCACTAGTGGTGTATTTGCATCTTGCAACTTATCATGTAAAAAGTTTGGTTGACACTCTCATCTTTGTTTTTTGTTTGGGCTATAGTCCAGGGACACTCTATAAAGCGTTTCACATGACAAGACAGTCGTGGTAAAGAGTTAATGTTCTCGATTTCTATCTCTCCACTTTCAAATTCTTATATGATTTCATGTTGGAGTTCTAGTTTGTTCTATCCCTCATGATGTAACCTAGTATTATCTATCAACATGGAATATTCTATTAATTTAATTACAGCTGATTCAAGAACAAGTTCGAATATACAAATATACAGTGTACGTACTCATTATAACATCATTCTCGGCTATGGTTTAATGGCTGCCATGTGTAACCTAATGCAAAACCATCTCATTGTTGGAAAACAGGCCCTCAAGTCGTCTCTCAAATAACACACACTCACAGGTATATATGTATGCAGAAAGAAAATATGAAGATATGGAATTAATTTGGACTAAAAAGCTGCACACTCCATTCATATTCAGAAAAACAAAGGCTATATATAGCCTGTACTTATCCAACGGAAATAAGCAAAAAACCAACCTAAAACTAAGCTAACTATTCCAAAAGAATAGGTTCCTTTGATGAGCAAGTTCACCCATCGTGCACATACACTTCCAATGACCAGGTCACCCTTTATTCAAAAAGCTAATTAAATAAAATAAATACTAAATATTAACCCATACCCATTCTTGACCAGCATTAAGATTATACCCAACAAACACCCCCCTAATCTTGATGCTCTTGACCTTGCTTAGACTTCTTGCTGTCTCATGCCTCTCGCTTCTGATGAATTAAAGAATCGAGTAATGAATTAATCAGAGTTTGAATTCAAGTATGAATGCGAGATTTGGACACCGGATGTAAATATGATCTGTTATGCTTTTTTACGCTTTCGAATGCTTTACAGAGTATAAAAGACAAGTCTGTAAAAGTTCTTATCTACCTCTAGTAAATAACCCTATTTATAGGGAAAACGAAAGCGTACAAAAAATATACTAAGGCATAGACTCTAACGCTTCGAACATATGCGCCTTAGTAAAATACATTACAAAATATTCGAAGAGTACAAAACATACTTCGACTAATTACAACTATTCGACCCTTACAATCTCCCCCTTTGTAATAATAGTCAAAGTCTTCAATTTGTAAGAAGTGTTATGGAATACAGCAACACCCTTCGAATCTCTGTATACCATGAGATAATCTTCTTCAACTCCTTCATGTCTCCTTCATTATTCTTCTTGCAATGATTCATACGAACAATTAAGTTCGTATATTGAGAAGTTGAGTACCTTTCCACTTCACATGCTTGAAACAAAAATCGCTTTGACTTCCCAGCTTTGTCTTTCCCTGCGAAGACAATTCCAAAAGGTTTCAGGCATATTTCTCCATCAGCATATTTCTTTAATTCTGCCTGTGTCTTCGAAGGAGCCATTGGAGCTGTTATTTCCATTCCTTTAGCCGTAGCTAACTCAACATCAGTAAGTGCCAAACACTCATAGTAATTTTCGATAAAAATTTTGATGTGAGCAACTCCAATCTTGAATTCTTCTGGATCAGTGTTTTGGAGGAATGAAAATGATTTGTCTTTCAAGAGTAATGCAACTTGTATAAGATCATACAAGTTCATTAATGGAAAATCTGCTACAGTAAACTCACAGATATTTACATTTGCCCTGGCAACCACGTACTTAAAATTTTGGACTGTGTTTTCGAAAACCACATCCTTTTTCATGCTGATCACCTTCTTGATTTTGATTAGTGACCACACTTCTTCAGGGGCTTTACCAAGAACGACATGAAAACGAATTTTCATGTGAGTGCCTTCATCTTTCCCTTTAAAATTTCCTTCGGCCTTGAACTGAGGCATGATAAACATCATTTCGTTTATCGGGAAATCCAGCTGGCTTGTGTCAGTATTTGTGATCAAGTAACTCTGCTTCGGTTGTTGGAAGAAGACTTGAAATACGAAAGAGAGGGGCAAGTTGTTTATTGAGAATGGCTTCGAATTGGATAAACTTCTGAGACAAAAATTCAGGTGTAATCAATGAAGAAGACACCAACTTTGCAGAAAGTTCTTTTAACTCCTTGAGTAGAGTAATGATTTCTTCAAAGTTTGCACTTTCAGTTGTTGAAATTTGAGTAAGTTGAGGACTCATGCATTCATATAACTTGACAAATTTGGTGACAGCGTCACAAATTATATCAACCTTTTGATTTAATGAAGCATAGTCCTGTTGAATAGTAGATATTTCTCTTTGCATATCTTCACGAAGTTCGTGAATCTGCAAGTTGACATCCTCTCGTACTTTCTTCACATCTTGAATAAAAAGCACATGTCGTTCCTTTGCAACATTTTTTAATTCTTTCAAATCACTAGCAAATTTCGAACTTTGAGAATTGATTCGAATTTCAGTATTTTGATCATTGAGGTCAACTTTCTCCAAGACTCGAGATTCAGAATCTTTAATCATGCCGGATACTTTGCTCACCATTCTGGCTTCGAACATCTTGAGCAAAGTTTCAACCTCCAAACTGGAAACAGATGAACCCCCCCCGAGATCAGCTTGAGACTGAAGTATCGAATTCAACTTCTGATTTAAGATCTTAAAATGCTTCATGGTCATCAACATGTGATCTGGAAACTGCTCTTCTTCTTCATGGAACTCTAATTCTTCAAACGTACCACCAAACCCCTCATTATTAGTCTCTGTCTCCATAAAAATAGTTTCTTGAATAGTCGAAGTTGTCTTGGGTGTATCAGTGGATTGAGAAGAAAAAATCGAAGTGAATGGTTGATTGATAATGTGTTCGAAGGTAGGTGAATCTGTGGTTGATGTAATGGGAAGAGTGGATGGTGATATAGAAACAATATTTTCGAAAGGAGCAGAAGTAACCTGACCTTGAGCGCCTAGTTTCGACCCTCCTTCACCCATATTGACTGCATTCGTATCAGATACGTGTGTAGGGATGCCTGAAGTTCGAACCTCCTTAGAAACTGATTTGGCAATCGAATCTTCGGGTGGTATGATAGTGTGTGCTCAGGATTCGAAGTCTGATCATGAATAGTTGGTGCAGGAGTTTCAGGAATTCGTTCTTCATCTTCTTCAGTTGACTCAGTAGAAATTACCAGCTTTTGAGACTTCTTCTTTTTCTTCCTAGACAAATGTTTAGCCATATCCTCAGCCATCCGTTTCTTAGATACCGGAGAAACAGGGGCTGGTACTTCTCGAATTAACACCCCTTGATGAGTGATTTGAGGTTTTCGAACCACAGTTTGTGTAGGAGACTTGTGTTTGTGGGTAGACTTCATTTTGATTCTTCTAAACATTCCAGTCTTCGAAGGAATGATTACATTCTCCTGTGTTTCTTCAAGAATATGCGGAACCTCTTGAGTCTCAACCACTTCAACCGTTTCAGGCTTCTTTTTCGGAGATTTCGAAGATTTTGATTCGGTTGCATGGTGCTTCGTCTTCTTGGATTTTGTTTCATCACTACCCAGGAGAATGCCAGTTTTGATTGTAGAATCGATTGTCTGGAAATATGCCACCAAGACAGAGTTCGAAGGATCAACTCTCTTAAGCATAGCATCTGGAATCCGAGCAACTGATGGGAAAACATCAGCACTATCAGTGACATCCTTCGGATAGTGGTATGGTTGAAAAACTGCTCTTTTTTCATCATTGGGTACCAAAATCCCTTCCTTATTATAAAAATGTTGCAAGATCAGGCTCCAGTATCTGGCACACGAAATACCTTGAGTAGCATTTGTATGTTCTATTCCCTTTTGAAATTCCTTCCATAGTTGTGTAGAATAATCTACTTGAAGATCATAATATATACCAGCAACCATAGCATACACTTCCATCCTTCCTTTATCAAGACCAGCAGAACGCCCAGTTAAACACCTTAGAAAGATTCCAAACAGGAAATTCCATAGTCTTGGAAGACTAGACTTTTTAAAATCACTCATCTTGGACAATGGTGGCTGATAACCCATCTCATTGAACATGTGAACAATTTGTGGAAAAGTGACAGCAACATAGGGAGGCGAATTTGGAATATCAAGAATTTAACAGAAAAGTTTCTTGGATAACCTGACCTTTTTATCGTTCACAAGATGAAAAGTAATCGTATCAGTAGCTTTGTTGTAAGTTGCAGTGGATCCTGCTTGAGAAAGCCAGGATAATGGAACCGAGAAAGAATTAAACATCGCCTTTGACAAGACAGAGTTCTTCAAAGCAACGATGAGCATCTTCAACTCTTCCGGGTACTGAGAAACTTCACCCTCCAAGTAGTAGTTTGTTCCTTGAATCTTCATTATTGGGACTGAAGAAGCATCTTCAGTGGTATGAGAATCAATATGAGCAGGAGTCGCCATTGTTAGGGTTTGAAGATGATGATGAACAGAGAATTTGTGAATTTTGCTTTTTGATCGCATAAACGGATAATTAACCCTTGAATCCCCTTTTATATGTAACCCTGAATTTTGAATTTGAAGCGGGATGCATTTAATGAGATCCGACGTGGCACCTTGAAAATCGGACCATTACTGCGTAAAAGTAGCCATGCGTCAAAAAGTAGCTGTCACATCGCCTTGAAAATCGGACAGAATACCATACGTCATTTATAAACAGCCTGTCTAGAATAATGTAACCATCAGAACCCTTCGAATGGAGGCAAGGCTCTTTCGCTTTTGGGATGAAAAGCGAAGTCATATGCCAGATTTGTGAAATCATCAGCCTGAGTTGGTATTACTCAGAACCTCAAGGATTTCGTGAGTGCAGTGTTCCAAAGAATGTAGATAAGAAACAAAGATAAGAAAATTTTGGAATATTGTGATGTCAAACAATTGACACAAAAGCAGATTAAATCCCGGGTAAAGA